CCACATGTGGTTTTAGCTCATAAAGTCCTGCTGGAGTTGGTCCTGCGTCTCAACGATGAGCAGAGGGTTTCTGCGAGGGCTGAGCTCTAAGAAAGCCCCCCCACTGCTCCTCCCAGATGTTCGTCCCTCCTCCTCCTCCTCCTCCTCCTGTGAATGCCGAGCGTCTGCAGAGATCCTCAGCTCCTCTGTTAAATGTTCCCCCAGCTCCTGGATCAGCTGCCTGCAGCCCCCCGAGTCTGAGCGAGGGGCGTCCGCTTTCAACTGCTCTGCTGACGAGAGTGTGCTGGAGAGTGTTTGGGGGATGGGAGAGGCAGGGGGGCTGTCTTTACATGCCTCTCCTCCTCCTCCTCCTCCTCCCTCCTCTGTGGATTTGGAGCAGCCTAGTCCTTCAGTCTCAGGATCCTCGCTCTCGCTGGATGACTCGCTGCTGCTGCTGCTGCTGCTGCCACTGCAGGATTCAGACGTGTCGGCGGCTCCCTGCTCCTCTTCCATCACCATCCTGGCTGCCTTCTCCAGCTCATCCAGCTCCAGCTCCAAGTCTCTTTTTTGCAGCGAGGCTTTTTGTAACGAGGCGACCAGCGCCGTCACCTTCTTGGACCTTTGGATGGAGAGTGAGAAATGGAGACAGGTTAGGAAATAAGAGCTGTGTTTTCCTCTCAATAAAGACAACACAGGAATAAAAACCTCGTCAGTTCTGTGTTCAGATAAAAGCTTGACTCCTGACTTATTGACTCTCATTCATTCGTACTGAAGACATAGCCACAGGATAACCATCTACAACTCTAATACCCATTAAGCAAATCCCATTGTCATATGAACGCTAAGTAGACGGTGATTTGCAGMGGCGATGGGGGCTCAATGAAATATGGAAATATGGATGTTTAATAACGGAATAAGATGAGCTCTGCTGATACAAGAGGCTTGGGATCTTTTTCTTGCTCTCCCTGCAAGAGGTGATAAGAGAGGAGGGGATATACACAGAGGAAGACACTTCCTCGAAGAATACACGTTTACTTCTGCAAACAGGGAAATTAAAGCAACTGTCTGAGAAGAAAAATGGTACAAAATAGAGAAAGCGGCATTTCAGATTTCACAAGATGCCACTTCAAATCTATTGTTTATATTCGTGATATTTTTGGTTCAAAGCATCTCCTGGATGCCAGCGGGAGAAAAACATCCAGCAGTCTCAACGAACAACCAACACTTTGCCTGAATAATTCCCGCAGMCTGAAAGAAACCCTAAAGGGGCTAAAAAGGTTGTAGTTGATTGCAGTCCAGTCGATAAAAGTCTAGACAGGGAGTGACTGCAGGCTGTGGCCCCGCTCCACTGTTTAACGTCTCCAGAGATTAAGAGAATGTCCTCATTAGGCAGGAAACTTCTCCGTCCTGTCACTTGAGTTTTACTGTTGTGTCCCCACAAACAACTCAACAGACCGTTGGAGGTGTGAGGTGCTGTTCTCCTGATGAATGTCCTCTTAAAAGGCCTTGTTTGTGTAACACCATCAGAGTGTGTGTGTAGGTGTGTGTGTGTGTGTGGAGGGAAGGACCCTGACTGCACACACACACACTGGAAAAGCCTGCTGAGCTGCCAAAACCCAAAGTGGTTGCTATTCAGCGCTCAGCGTGGATGGGGCATGGGTACCACCCCCGTTTCTGTGGTGATTAGGCAATGACCTTTGCGGGTCASAGTGATTCAGACCATCCATTCAGGGTCCGAGTAAGTGTGCGATGGTGTGTGTGTGTTGAAAAAGCCACTGCTCCCATTCATGTGTGCACACACTCTGCTCCTCCTGCCCTCACTGGTCCAATTAAGCCACTGCTGAGCACCAGGATGYTTCCTCATTACTGTGCGGTCCTAATGAGTTCCCTGTTCTGGTGAATAKTGTTTGTGCAAGCAGAGGCTGCGCATTCGACAAAAGACCTGAAGAGGGACTCTGTAAACACATCTTATTCTTCTGGTGTTTTATAGAAACACACACACCTCTTCAGCAAGGCTTAAAAAAGGAGGAAAATAAAACAAGTGGAGGGAGGGGTGGGGCACAATGGGCCTCATGCAAGAACCGTTCGTACGCACAGATTTGTTCTTMAGTTGTGCGTACGAGTGRTTTAGGAGAATTTGTGGCATTCACCAATGTTTTCGTATTCTAAGATTTTTTTCAGATACGAACAAAATTTACGAGTGGTCCAGACCTGTCGTATATTTTACGAGCAGTCAGTCTGCTCTTATCCAGACGGGTTTTCTTCACTAATAACTTTATATTTCATTAGTTTGAAGATATTTTGAGTTGAAAATAAATCACACTCTATAATTATGTTGACAGTAGGCTATTCTGCTTGAATTAGAGTTATAATTTTAAATGTAATAATTTAGACTAACAATAAATTGTCCGTTCGTCCGTTTTCCGCCGCTTATCCGGGATCGGGTGCGGGGGCAGCAGCAGAGAGACCCCCTCTCCCCTGCTACACCTTCCAGCTCGTCCTGGGGGACTCAAGACGTTCCCAGGCCAGAGGGGATACATGATCAAGTCCAGGATTTTCTCCAAAGTGCCAGACTTATTTTAAAAACATTTTAAAATGCTTATTTCAGAACAGCAACTGAGACCACCTGCGCTGCGCAGCGCGCTGGGGGGGGGGGTACGGTGCGCAGCGCTGCGCTGTGTCTTCTGAGTAAATGAAAATGATTTAACACAGTTGTTTATACTTTTAGCAGCTCTTTTTATCCCACAGCTGAGCTGCTAAAAATGACAGATTTTCTTGTCTGGATCTCTGACAGACGGACTTCAATCTCTGAACTTGTAAAGTTCTCGTTCTTTATAATTTTCGCTGTCATTTCTCATGAATGAATGGACACTTCCTGGTATGTGAGGCAGGAAACATAGCCTTATATGGTGTTTTTGGGGTGGTAATTATGTTAATCTCCTCTCGCGTGCACGAACAGCTGGATAGAACAGGTGTAATTTACGCAGCTCATTTACGCACGTTTCCTGAAGATAGAAGAGTTTGTTGAATCTGACGTGACATGTTCGTACGAACCCTTTGTACGAACAAAAGTAAGAGAAATTTAGGATAAAAATACGAACATGTTCTTGCATGAGGCCCAATGCTTTTATCCTTGTRTCTATCTTTACCCATAGATGGGGAAAATTTCTTGATAGAGGTAGAATTGGAAAAATGAGGGAGTTATTATATCAACTCAAAACCCAGCAGAGAAGTTGGAAATTATGTCCCATCAACCACTCTAAAAGTAGGGAAAAAATAGCTTTTAAGAAGCTCCCTGAGTGTTAAAGGTGATAAGAAATGACAAAAATGTGTTTTATTGAYGTGGTTGTGATCTTTCTGTTCTTGCACCGCCCCCATAAAACTGTTTTTTTACGTCTGAATTATTGCCTCGCAGGGAAATGTGCACTGAATGGTTGTTTGTCTCGTTTGTCTCTATGTGTCTCTGTGATGGACATGCAACCTGAGGTTGTAYCCTGMCCCTCGCACAGTCAGTGCTGGACATGAGCACCAGTGACCCTGAGAGGAGGAAGYGGGTACAGATAATGGATGGATGGAAATGTGCATTGTGTGATTGGTCAAAAAATCATGAGCATGTTTATGTAGAGAAGCATTTGGCGTGCACTGTTCTCATTCTGCTGTTCCACTGGAGGACCAGCAAAACCTACAAATACAGTAGGGCTGCGCGGTATACTGTWTGCGATAGACTGAARTTGGCCTACGGTAGAAATTTACCCTCTWCCGTCMTATCRTCATTACGTCATCACACAYGTCAGCAGGGCTGCGAGTGCAGAGACAACTGAGCAGGAGGTGTTCGAAATATAAAGAAGAAATATAGCATTTTAAAACACGTATAAAGAGAATAAATCCTCAAAATTTCCCCCTCCTCTTGTAGAAAAGTTACGTCGTGACGCAGGATCATTTCCTCCCTCTCGCTGCACGTCGCTCAGAGCGAAGCTTTAACAACCGTTGTTTTTTCACACCCGAGTTGTTGGAGGAAAAAATAGCTTTTTACGTATTGCTACCCACAGAGATGATAAAACAAGATGCGGACGTTCGTTCAGTCATAAATCCATCTTGCTCATGTAACATGTGCTTCTGCTCTGATGATGAAGATGAGAGCGCAGCGGAGCAGCAGTGGGGCAGTTCAGCAGGCAGAAGCTCATTGTATGACAGGCAGATATTACATTTATTTGGCTTCACCACACTTATATTCCAGTTATCTGAAATTGTTTTATGACAGGACTATGTGCAGCTTTAAGCCCCTTAAGGTCCTGTCACACTATAACATTTTAGGCAACATTGAATTTTTTATGTCTAAATGACTAATTTTACTTGAAGTACTGGTTACATCCACTTTATTTTGATATTGTTGAAAATTTGAAAAATGTTTTTGTTTGTTGTTGAAAGTGTTTTACAATATATAAAAAACATTCTTCTGTTGTGTTCATTTACACTACAGCAAGAAAACTGGGTTTGATTATGATTACAGTTTTCTGCAAAATAAATGCTCTAAAAATTACATTATCTTTGCTTTTTATGATAATTTTTTACAGCAATATATACCCAAGGGATCCAACTTATACCATGACATGAATTTGAGGTCATACCACCCAGCYCTAAAATACAGTCAGATAAAACGTATAAGGCTAGCAGTCAATGAACTTGTAGTTGATTAAACGTTTGTGCACAGTGGACACGGGACAGAGACAGACGGCTCTCCATGGCTGCACAGAGCAGAAGGGGGTGTGTCTCTGTCTGGCAGCATAGAAACACTTTCCTGCATCAYCTGTCAGAAATGGTTGTGGACTCTTGTGTGTTGAATTTGCAAAGTAGCGCTTCTCCTCAGTTCCAAACCCTCTTCCTCCACCTCCTCCATCGTCAAACGAAAATAAACATCCACTTTGCCAACTGTGGTCTCACTGTGTTTGTGTATAATGTTTGCTGCAGAGGAAGGGCTTCGTAGGACTCTCCCCCAGATTCTCTTCTAGTATAAAATGTCCATAGGAAAAGGAATGTCTCACAACCACATTAGCACGATCAAATGTCTCACGTCTCTTTAAGCTGCTCCAGCTGCCACTCTCCTACAAACAGCAGTTGTTGTACCTCATCGGCCCAAGGGTCAAACACAAAAATGAGCCCAAGTGCTGCAAACCCTGCCCCTCACAAGTGGCACAAGTCTAGTCAGCACAAAATGACAGGTGCTGACCAAGCCTGGCTGTTAATTCAATAGAAAAAAGCAAAAGATTTTTGTCCCTAAGGGGCAATTAAACATACAGACACAGTAAACTGAGACATTTGGCAATAGCGCATTTTTCTTGGGTGCAACCAACATACTCAGCTCTACTGTGCTTTGCACAAATGCATATTCCTTACAAATGTGGCACCATTTAAAAGGCAATTTAACAGGCACTGCAATGGCATAAGATGTATTTGTTACAAAAAAGAAATAACCTACCAAACAAATTTCACACTGCAGTCAGATAAACAGTGTGGAATGAAATCTTATAAAGATGTGTAATGGTAAATGGTAYTGAACTTATAGAGTGCTTTTCAAGTCCCTCCGGACCCCAAAGCGCTTTACACTAACAGACATTCATC